TTGTTATATAACACTTACCACTGAGAATGATGAGAATCGCCGAGAATCAAACGAAATGTTTTCAATTTGATCAATTTTCTGGAACGTTTACAATCGTTCTATAATCGAACCTACATACAATAAGAAATTCGAATTTAAAATGGTTCGAACATTTTTAAAATCAAAATAGATAAAAATATTTATAACAATGTCTGAAATGTTATCAATTTAATACATCTAAGTACTCAATGAAAATTAAACGTAGTTGAAAACGAAAAATCATATCTAAAATAGTACAGTAGAAGCCGTTCTTCCGGTTAAGCCTTAATCCTGCCCCTTTCCCCCCCCCGCGGGAGAATTTCGAAAAATCCCTTCTTAATGTGCATTCCCATGGCATACCTTACTAAAACGCAGATAAAAACAAAATATCGCATCTAAAATAGTACAGTAGAAGCTGTTCTTTCGGTTAAGACTTAATTCTCTCCCTCTCCTCCTTGCGGGAGAATTTCGAAAAATCCCTTCTTAGTGTGAGTTTTTATGACGTACCTTAACTGTGTACCAAATTTCATCTCTTTAGGTTCAGCGGTTTGTTCTGGGCGATGATGAATCAGTCATTCAGTCAGTCAGTCAGTCAGGACAAGTAATTTTATATGTTTAGATATTAATTAAATTGTATTAAAATATATAAATAAAATTGCTTGTCCTGATGACTGACTGACTGAATGACTGATTCATCATCGCCCAGAGCAAACCGCTGAACCTGAAGAGGTGAAATTTGGTACACAGTTAGGGTACGTCATGAAAACTCACACTAAGAAGGGATTTTTCGAAATTCCCCCGCGGGGGAGAGAGAATTAAGGCTTAACCGGAAGAACGGCTTTTACTGTACTATTTTAGATGCGATTTTTTGTTTTTATCTGCGTTTTAGTAGGGTGTGTCATGGAAATGCACACAAAGAAGGAATTTTTCGAAATTACCCCGCGGGGGGAGCATTAAGGCTTAACCGGAAAAACGGCTTTTACTGTACTATTTTAGATGCGATTTTTTTGTTTTTATCTGCGTTTTAGTAGGGTATGCCATGGCAATGCACACTAAGAAGAGATTTTTCGAAATTTTCCCGCAGGGGAAGAGGGAGAGCATTAAAGCTTAACCGGTATAACGGCTTTTACTGTATTATTTTAGATGCGATTTTTTGTTATGTTTAGTCTTTATTAAGTACTTAAGTGTATTATATTAATAACATTTCAGACATTGTTATAAATATTTATATATATTTCAGTTTTTTAATCAAATGTTCAAACGTTTTTAAATTCGAATTTGTTATTGCATATTGGTTCGATTATAGAACGATTGTAAACGTTCCAGAAAATTGATCAAATTGAAAATAGTTTGTTTGATTCTCAGCAATTCTCATCATTCTCGGCGGTAGGTGTTATATAACAATTACTATGGTTGTTGAAATACTGAATAAAAATGGGGTTTGATTGCAAAACCTCCGCGGGCGAAGTCGCGGGTAACAGCTAGTTTATTATATATTTAAAATTTTCTTTAATTATTGTAGTTATGAACAATAATTTCGGCGATTCTTTCCTTGTATTCTCTTTTAAAATACAGTAGAGTTAATTTGAACATACTAAATTGTAATATTTGATTTTGTGAAATGTACTGTTCGTACAATACATTCAGTAAAGACCTGATTATCCGGCTACATTTTTTTTGTGCTACACATTTTGTGAATGGTTTCCCCATTTAAATCCTGTCCCTAAACTGTTTGCAAGCATCAAACAGTGATAATGTGTCTTCTTTAAACATCCACACAGACTTGCTTTAATTGCACACAGTGATGAAAGACTGCTTGAGGAATACTGTACAAATCGTGTCACAAGTTAACACAAGTAGTTTGCCATGCTATACAAGCACTGGCACAAGAAGTGTCGCCATGTACAAGCAGTGACACAAGTAAATACACGTAGTGTGTTGTTGTACACTATTGCCAACTACTGTACAAGTATGAATACAAGCAGTTTATATAGTAAAATGAATAAATAAAAGTGTATAAATGATTCTCTTCCTACAATGTATCCAAATACAGTACATAACCCTATTTATCTTAATATTTTGGGCCTGCAGACGTTTCCATTAAGTCCGGATAATCGAATTTCTACGCATAAGTAAATGATTATAATAACAAGAAAACAGACAGACTACAAATTGATCACTTCACATAACAGGCAGCTACTTTATTTTTGATTGTCCTTACCAAACAAATAATGAGAAAACATATCGAAAAATCATTTACATTTACTAACATTTTGTTTTTTAAATAAATTAATATTATAATAACAAAACATATCTACGTGTAGATGTTCAAACTATACATTTGATGGAAAAAAGAAACATTTTTTTCCACATAACACCAAACGTTCATAAGACACTACTCTCTCAATGTTTAAACACGTTTGAAATATCTGATGAAATTTCTGTTTAAAGGGGGGTATTGCTCTGTTGATTATTTGTAAAGACTGATAAGGCAGGTGTACTGTACAATATATTCTGGGGGATAAGGATTCTGTGAAGAACAAATAAATTTATATATATATATGTATATATATATAAAAGAATGACGATCATTCTCATGGACGCAATTAAAATATTACAATACAGTATTTTCGAATTTTTCACAACAACTAAATTGTTTTTCTTCTGTAAAATTACTCTTATTATTTTCTTTATCTATAATACCGATTTTACGGGAAGATAAGATGAAAATCTTTCTAGAAATCATTGTTTTTCAAGTTAATTTTCTTTTAAAACTCAACTTATTCAATTTAGAATTTAATTTTCTTTTAAGTATACCAATCTGCCTTTGATTTTTCTTTGTTAACATCAGAAAGTAACACAGACATTCACATAATTTTATGTGTAAAGTGAGAGAGAGATAGAGAGAGAGACAGAGAAAGAGATACATTTATATAGAGAGAATTTTCAAGGTAGAATGAGGTGAGTTTGGTTAGAACACCCATCATAATTTTTTCCTTACCGATTTCATACAGTTACAATACACGATCCACTACAATACATTCATTTCTTATGGTGCATTAAACAATAAAATTAATAGATTTTAAAGAAAAAGCTCAAAATTACAATTAATTCTTATTTTTTTAAGTGCTCTCGATGGATGATCGAGACAATGGTCATAGATTATAAACATCCTTCAACAAACTTGATAGGGAAAGTTGCATTTTAACATCTTAATTAGGGAGGGTTAAGCTGTTTAATCACCACATTAATGGGTTAAAACTTCAACATAATTAGTATATTTTAATCATTAAAAAAAACTCGAAAAAATTATTAAATTTCTTTGCATTTACCATTCATCTCATTGGCATCGTCGATATAGATTTTTTATAGTAAGTTCATATGTATAGGTTTATTTTTCTTTTAATTATAATTAGTGTTTTTTATTAATATAACGAAGAGCATAAACATATTCTAATATCAAAAATAATCGTGCTATTTTCTAAATATTTCCCAAAAAATAATTTTTCATCCAAAAAATAACATTCTTGTGACGTGTGTTTATGTATGTGTATGTGGCTCATTGTCGTCATTTAGGAAGAACTTTTAAAAATTATCTGTTGGAATTTTTCACTATTTAATAAATAAAAACTGAAGGAATTCCTCAAAATGATATCCAAATTTAATTATATGTATATATATATATATATTTCCTCTCTTTATCCAATTTATATTCCTGTAATGATGCGGAGTAGGAGGATGTCATCAGAAGAATATAAATATTTATCAGAAAGATTGTGTTGAAAATATATATATATTTTTATGTTTATTTATCTATTTGATCACATATTTTTTATATATAATTTTTCTTTGGATACGTACAGGATCGTGTAATTATTACCATTAGGAAATCATCCCGTCATTACATTTGATTATGTTCTGTATTATTGTAATCATCTCCTCTCCTTATTAATTCTTAAACAATGCTTTAAGTATACAACATATAAATAAAAACAGTATAAATACATAAATATCTCTCTTAAAATATCTTTCCTACATATAAATAAACGTACTTTAGGCTTCATTTTATTCATTATTCTTTCGACTCCTCTATATTTTGATGAAGAAAAATGCAATTTTCTGCACCTCATTTTCTTTTTTCTGTTGTCTCTTATTAAAATATAATCATAAAATTTAATTGTTAACTAGACTAACAATCTTGCAAATTGATTAAAACATATTTATAGAAAAAACTGCTCATAAAATCTTAGCTAAGAGAATAAAAAACAATTCTTTCTTCATTTTTTTTTGTTTTTTGCAATTGAAAACAATTAACAATTCTTTTGCATATAGCAACATTTAAAAACAGAACATATAAAGCTCATAATAATTAAATTAAAATATTATTTGTCAACATTAATTTCTCTCCAACAATGTTTTTTTTTATGTATTAATATATAACAATTTAACATTCTTATCCCCTTAACTAACAATACCACTAATCTATTAATTTATGAATTTTTTTTCTGTTATTTATCATTCCATCTATTGTTAATTTTTGTGTTTTTTTATCTAAAATTGAAAATAACTATCACAATTAATTTTCTTAGTGTTCAGTATTTAAAAATATAAAATAAAAAATAAAAAACGTGTATAATTTCCCAATAAATTAACTTAAAAATACAGTAAAATTAACGTTTATATTGTTGATTTTTAAGTGTTTTTTTTAAATATATTGCTCCACTTTTAATTCTAATTTTTTTTTTGGCTTGACAAACTTGGTGTTTAGTTGATTCTTCTTGACAACAACAATATAATTTCACACCAAAGACAACGATGAGGCTCTAGATCTATTATAATACTGAACTTTGCATCCATGCAACAATCCAAACAACCTCATGCATTGAAATGAAAGTAACAATACCATGTTATCAGAGCAATAAATAATGTTTAAATAATCCGAAATAAATTGTTTAATTCGTATTATTTTCACATTAAATGAGGTTCGTTTGAATGTTTTTTTTTTTTGTTTCTGAACTAGTGTGATCCCTATTGCTTAAACATGTTTTTTTAAATTATTTATTTTTTATTTTTTCCAAATGTTTGCATCCACTTGGGATGTTTTAGGATTTCGCCTACCTCCCCCTTCTATGATTCGCACTTTTTTATCTCTTTCGACTAAGGCATCTTAATATAGGCAGTCCTAAAACTCACGTTCCTCAACAGTTCCGTGCATATAACGATCTTTAGGAGGGGACTGAACCATCTCTTCCCTCGTTTCGAAGACGGGTTGATAATTATCCACGGTTGCTCCATAACTCGGTTGTTTGACGTTAGCAAGAGATATGGGTTCGATTATTTCTCCGTTTTGTCTGTCGTATTGTTGCTGGTCTTCTGGTTTGAAGGCATTTTCCAATGGATTCCATGAAGGGCCTTCTTCTTCTTCCGGTGGTTCTGCCCAAGGTTGTTTCTCTCCGGATGCGAAGATACCATAGAATATCACTCCAGCAAAATGTATGGCACCCGCGATTACAAATACTTTTTGCCACTGTTCCGCAACCTAAAATATATCAGTAGTTTATTAAATCAAAATTGTATATTTTATAATTGTACTTCATAAATCGATCATTTTAAATACGGTTTAAACTTTACAATTTTTAAACTATAATTTTATAAATGGTGCACTAAATAGTACATTTATCGTAACCTATCAGTGTGCGAGTGGATAAATCCATTGAACACTAGTAGTTGGTCAAGGGTTCGTGCCTCATAAACAGGTTGGGCACTTGAGTTTCCTGTGTTTCTTCACATGTCTAACACCCGAAAGGTGCCAGTTTCCTATAGAAAATCCTAGAGCCTTCCCTTTTGGAAGATCATGCACGTGTTGTGTTGCTTTCTCATTAGTCACATAAAAATAATTCGCAAATTTAAATACATTTACTCAATTGGATCAATTAAAAATAATACGAGAAAACTTAGCAGTGGCTATTGATAATGTATATAACAATTTTCCGAATGATTTTTGGGCACCATTTCCCTTTAAATCAATAAATAATACACAGTAATGGCTATATTCAAGGCAGCAAAGTCTATAGAAGATAACATAACAGTCAAACTTAATGTAACTTAAGCCATTTAAGAGATAACCAGCATTATCTGCACCCCATTATCAAGAGAATTCTTATCGCCATCTTAACTTTTGCAATGATTCTTTTGTTTGCTCTTGCAATAATACCAAAACAATTGATTTGACGGCAATTTGCAACGATCCTATGTAAAATTAATGTATGAAATATTCAATTTATCGATGCAAACACTTACCATTTCAGGTGAAACCGTTGGTTTAACATGAATAATATTTTCTGTTACGTTTGTCATTAGTGGAGTTGTTGGTATAGTCGTAGGAGTATCAGTAGTAGTTAGATTCAAATTTTCAGCGGTATAATTCGGGAAGAGTTTTTGATGAGCCTCTAATGTTTTATTCATAAAATGGAATGCTTTGTGTAATTTATGAGGAGGTTCAGTTCTGCTATTCGAAAGGACTTCATGGTGAATGTCTAATGTTTTATGAACGAAATGAGGTATTTGAGGCGTTTCTTTACCATAAGGCGCCTGAAATTCAAAAAACAAAAAATATATATATATGTAAATATACGTTTCGATAACTGAGTAAATCGAGTAAAACCTGTCTAAAACGAAACGCGATAGTCCATTTTATCGAGTTTCCTTCTTATGCAGGGTTACGTTTCTATTAAAGCAGAACGTAATCTTTACTAAAGTTACGTTATTCAGATTTTTCTTAGGTTTCGCGTTAAACAGGTTTTCGGCTTGTAGTAATATTATTCACAGAAAATCGTTCTGTTCCGAGATTTATTTTCAGTTTTGTAGCGTGTCCGTTTTAGGCAGGTTTTACTGTCTAATTTATCAGAAAGATCTATTTTATTTCTTAAATTATCTTATTCAATAAATCGAGATTTAAAAAGTTCATAATTGTAGAAAATTAATGGTTCTAAAAATGAATCTAGAAAATTTCATTTTTTGAAATTCTGAATTTTGCAATAAATTTCAGAATAAATTCACTATTTAAATTTATTTCTGAAATCTTGTTTCTTTGCTAACCTGTGAAGTGATTTTAGTTTCCTTTATAAAGATTGCAATTTATTTCTTAAATTATCTTATTCAATAAATCGAGATTTAAAAAGTTCATAATTGTAGAAAATTAATAGTTCTAGAAATGAATCTAGAAAATTTCATTTTTTGAAATTCTGAATTTTGCAATAAATTTCAGAATAAATTCACTATTAAATTTATTTCTGAAATCTTGTTTCTTTGCTAACCTGTGAAGTGATTTTAATTTCCTTTATAAAGATTGCAATTTTCTGGTTTCTTAGATATTTTTATGTTAAAAAATAGCTAAGAAAATATAATATAATATAGTATTTTTAAAAAATCTAGCAACGAATTGCTTAACGTTTCCGCAAACATTTAAAACTATGTGTGGCATCATCTGTTATAATACTTTATTTAAAAACTTTTTTATATTATTAATGATTATAAAACGAAAAAACTTAATTTTGAGGATAGGGATGAGTTTTATTAAAAAATTTCAAATGCTAATAACGAGTAAAATCTTAATTAAGTTCGATCCCACTCGAGACTTGGCACACGAGTATCCTCTATCTCTCTACCTTTAACCACCAAAATTTAATTGTATCAATGCCCCAATGCAGGAAACCTTCCTCCAAAATTTCTGAAATTTTGCAAGGAGGTTTCTGCATTAGGGGCATTATATTGTTTATGTATACCATGTGTTACAGATTTAATGTAAGACAATAGCAAAGAATCGACAGAATTATTGTGATATCGTTACAATGCCGGGCTACAATTTTTAATATTTTTCATTTATTTAATTGAAAATACATGCTCTCGATTTTAGTAATATCTTTTCCCTGTACATAATACTTTTCCCGATAATATGCCGATCAACTATATAACTCCATTCTGAATAAAATTTTTAATTGAAATCATGTAACTTCCGTTCTGTCCCGGAAGTTCATATATAGTTATTCGGGACCTTGTTTTCTATATCTGTTCTCGACTTTCATCTATCTCTGTTCTCGAGATTAAGAAATGACAGATAGACAGGCTGACGCTAGTGGGAATTTATGTCTACAATTTCTTGCAGACGTATAAATTCCCAACCTATAAAAGTTAGAACCCATTATTGGGTTCTAAATACATCCTTAAATACAATTATGAATTATATTATATATAATACACACACTCATTTATATTCATCCATACATGCATATATAATATATATAGGCTATATTATATGTAATCTTACCTCAACTTTCGTAAGCGACTCCACAACAATTGGACATATGATACCAGAAAATGTCCCAAAACCGTTTGACAACCCCATTAAAATACTGGCATATCGAGGCGCTATATCTAGATGATTTACATTGAAGCCTATAAGAGAATATATTATTTATATTATTTTATTTTATATTTTAAAAAAGTCATCTTAGTATGGCCTGCAGTTCATATTCTTATCTAAGAGTACGCTCGATCAAATAGTAATTTCCAAAAACGTGCATTTTAATGAATATCACTGGACAAGGCACATTATATTTCTTTATGTGTTGAAGCTAGTGATAGACTGGGTGATCATTCATGCATTGAACAGCGGTTAGAACCACTGCAAAATTTACAAGCGGTTACGGTGGGATCTTATCAGTTCTGCATCAGTTGATATGAACGACTCAATTACCGTGACTTGTGAAATTGGGGAATGTGTGACTGCTGCAGATGACAACTTCATCACCTTCCGAAACATTTAACTTTATTCTCAATATTCTTTAGTATATAACTTATCGTCTACTTGCTTAATAAATCGTATTGTTACGCATCTATCTCGTATAAAATATTCTAATTATACTTCTTCTTTGCGTACTTATTTAACACGAATTATCAGTTGTGAATGACGTAAACAATGTTAAAAAAATATTTTATTGTGTTTCTCATCGATTATTTATTTAATTTATTATTTAAATATAACATAAATAATTATTTTCCTTACCAGAAATTGCAAAGCCGCTGAATCCAACAGCCATTGTAAGCGCAATAATTGCAACAGCTTTGCTTCTTGTGTAAGCAACGATTAACAGAAAACAAGCTTCCATCCCGAACCCTTTCAAATTAATATAAATCTATAATAATCACATATTTGTAAACTAATATTGACATACATTTATTATTACCTCACAAATACGTAATTAATTTTAAACTAACCTCCACAGTTGAAGATTTTTCTGACAGACGTTGTTGTAAGAATTTCTCGTTTCCGTAGTAAATCTGCTAGTTGGCCTCCGAACGGTACAATTATAGTCATTACAAGATGAGGTAAAGCTCCTACAATACCAGACTGTAAATATATCAATATATTTAATTACAATTTTTATATTCAAAAATTCACTTAAAAATTGTACCGTGTGAATCAACAATTAAATGTGCACCTTGTCCAGATCGTATTTAATTACTTCACGAAAATATGTTGGCTGAGATATGATCAACATGTAGAATGTCCAACTTCTGCAAAAATTGGCAATGATGATGGCATAAACAGGCATTGAAGTGAACATCTCCTTCCACGGAGTCGTTTTGAGCTAAAGAAAACAGTTTTTCATTAAAATATATGTATTGTAATACATAGGGTAAACTAGAGTTAGATATTAGGATAAACCAGGAAGTTCTGGTAGTTGTTTTCTCTTGCATACTTTCTCTGTTCTTGTGTTCAATTGATAAGAAAACATCTTATTATTTGAACAACAGAAGCGTGTGAATAGCACACACAGCAAGCGTATCTTTCAACAAATACAATACACCTCCACGTGGCACCACCTTTCAGTTTATACACTAAGTACACGTGTTCTCTCGTGGTTTACCCTAATATATGTATAAAATATAATCTGTAGTTTCTATATAAAAATGATTTTTATATTAAATTTACTCTTCTGTTATTGATTCTTTAAGATGAAGGAAGAAGATAAGAGAAGGATGGTTATTCGTATCATTGTTGCTTCTGATGCAAGGACCAAACTCAAAGAATATCAAAGAAAAATATAATTTAAATGTATTCAATTGTTCAGCGGATAAGAATTTACTATATTATCTTTCATTTATCCTCATTATTATAATTATATCTACAAAATATTGGAATTAAGATATGTAAACACGAACTTCTGTCGGCTTGATAAAAGTAATTGTCCTAAAACAAAAGATAGAATTTTCTTAAGTTGTTAATGTATCTCGTAATTTAATATATTCTAACAACTAGAATTTTTCAAGAGTAAGAAATATTTCAGATTAAATTTATTGTACTGATTGAAATTTAACAGATTTCTGATTAAATTTCTAGATATATTCTAACTGAAACGTTTTAATCAATAGTTGCTGCGCCTGGGAGAATGATAGAACTGTATACAATTTACACTAAACAAATTATCTAGGTGTTCTTATATATTTATTTGTCGTAATTATTATTTTAAGATATGTAAATAAATAGAATAAACTTTGAAAGATATTTCTCTTTACTTTTTGAGTAAGTTCTCTTCGTATAAAAATATTTAAACTCTCTTCTCTTCTTCTTGAGAGTGTGGTCAGTTGTTTTTGTATCCAAATTTACAATTTATGTACAGAAACTGATGTCAACATCTATTTTCTCATAGTAGACTAACCCAATGGGTTTATTCTTTCCATCTGTCCATTGCAACTGTTTGAATTTTATCTGTGATAATATTGTTTATAAGAGTGTATTCATTCCTGGCTGTTACATATTGGAAAGGAGTGAATTATTTATTTTTCTGAGACATATTATATAATTCTCTAACTACCTTCTATATAATGAAAAAAGGCTTCTTCTCCATTTTTAATTGGAGAAAGGGGTTTTCTAATTAAAATTAAGTAGTTAATAGTTAACTTACAAACCATCTCGTGTTATACAAAAACAAAACGGTGTGGGTCCAGTGAATAATGAGATGCAAAATTCCTGCTAAGGAGTTTGGAGGTTGGAATTTAACATTAATTTATATGTTTTATTTATTTAATTTCATATATAAAGGGCAGAAATTTAAAAATTTTATATAAAAAGTTCGCAATTTCGCTCATATTTTCCAGTTTCATCCTTCTATAATTCTGTACAGAAACGGTTTAAATTTATTAACTCCTTACTGCACTGAACAGAAAGGAATAATAACGCATAAATGAATATTATAATTAACAATGATGTCACAATTAATTCTACAGTAGTTTATGTATATTATTTAATATTGACTGCTAACCGTGGGTGATGTATGAGCGACGTGTCCTAAACTGTTTTCAATGTAGATTAGTTCTTCTTGAGTAATTGTTGGATGTTTTGATGGCTTCTCGAATGTCAACCACATCCAGAAAATATACCAAATTAGTCCGGCGAATCCTATAAATATAATTAATTAATTAATAACTTCCATTATTTAATGGCTGCTGTAAACAGAAACATTTTAATTGTTATTTAAATTTGTTACGAGATGGGTAAACAGCGCCATTTTAAAACTTTTCTTAATAAATATGAAACGTGAACAGAATTAATTAAATTATATGAAATTTTAGTTACTAAAATTTTCTACGTGAACAAGCTTTAAATTAATTTCTGTATAAGTTTATTTAGTTTATAGTGGTCTGTGTTTACTAAAGAATATATGCGCTACAATAAGATTGTTTATGAAAGAATTTAATTTAAATACATTTTAATTTATTAATTTCATGTTTTTGTATCAATTTAAATGATAATTAAGTCATTCGGGGATTAAATTTAATATCTAAATGTTAATTAAGTGCGTCACCAGTTCGTAAATTGGGAGAAATTTGTAGTCAAAATTATATATTTTTTACACTAATTTAACTTATGCAAATGTATAATCATTCACATAGATAAGTTGTATAGATTACCATATATTTCATATAATTAATCTATGTGAAAGTCTGTTCTGAAGTGTCGTCTAAGTCACTGTTTCTTAACCTGGGGTGCATGCACCCCTGTAGATGCGAGTAGTAACGATAGGTTTTTAAACTTTAGACGTGTAATATAAAATTTAAATCTGTCTTAAACTATAGAAATTTGACTCAACTGTACTCTCAGAGTCCACAGTAAAGTGTAAATTTACCACCCTCTCTACCTTTGCCACCTTGAACACAATTTTCAAGGGTGCAAGGACGTATTTTGAGATTTAAGGGGTGCCAAAACTACAAAGGTTAAGAAACACTAATCTAGGTGTTCTCTAATGAATATTAAAGCATTAGATATATTATTTTTAATATTTTAATTAATTGTATGATGCTAAATCGAAAAATTTGATAATATAAATTATGTAAATTATTTTTTATCGTACTGTTTAAAGTATAATATTAATGCTATAGTCTATTATGTGTAAACCTAAAAAAATTTCTGAAAAATGGCCGTTATTGAAAGTTTGGCTATAATAACATTTGCATTTTTATAAATAAAACGAATTTAATCTATCTAATTTTGTTATTTAATCTTTTTAAAATAATTTAATGTAACTGTAATATATTAAAATTAAGAAGATTAAATTCGTTATATTCATAAAAATGCAATTATTATTATTACAGTAGAACCTTCAAACACAGCCACCTCCCAACAACGACCATTTTTTTCAAGAATTTTTTTCTTTTAACAAAAATGCATACAAAATAACCTCCAAACTGTGGCCATTTTATTCCATTAGTGGCCGTTGTTCAGAGATTTGGCTGTATTACAATTCATTTAAAGTTTAATAATTGAATGATTATTTAATTTGAATATGAATTATTTAATACATGACTAATTAATAAATTAAATTTTATATACTCAAAATGTTTTCATTTTACCATAAAAATAGAAGCACGCCTGCCATCCCACATAATCTGTTAGCATGCCACATAGAGGCATACCAACCACAGCTCCTGCATACGAACCTGTAATAAAAACATAAATTACTTCAGATTTTGTTTAAAATATTAAATATAAAATTTTACTCTCTAATTATTAGAAATATTAAAATATTTAATAATACGAACCACAGAATGCAAGGGTCGCTAAACGACTTCTTTCAATTGGAGGTGCCCAATGTCTCCAAATTCCGTGGCACGCTGGATACGTCACACCCTTTAAACGAGGAAAAAAACGTCTATAAAGGTTTTTATGTATGTTTTAATAACAATTATGAATATGTAAAGCGTTTAACAAAAGAGGGGAATTTTAATATATTTGGTTAGTCATCATTCATCTTGGGGTTTCCGCTTTTCATCAAATAAGAGTTTCCCTATGGAAGGATCAAGAACAATTGTTCCTACCCAATAATCGCTCATGACTAAAATCCGTGTAACACAACATTTCACGCAAAAAGACATCAATTTCCATTATGAAGTCTCTACGAATGGGAATAAGGATTACAAGAGGACCATGGCTAATGTAACCAGTAACCATTGTCAAATGACAACTATGACAAGAGATTCGCTTATATCTGATTGCTTTTCTTCTTATATTTATCTACGAAAATGCGGCAAAGCGAATGTAAACATAAAATTTCATCTATTTTGTGTGAATTTATTCAAATTTTATATTGTAGCTACATCATTTTAAATGAGTACAGAGGTTACAATCGCTCAACAATATTCTCGGACGTAGACCTACGTGAGGTTATTTAGACTGAAAAATTGCCAAAAATCATCAATATTTTACTCGATAACACGATTTTATACTTAAAAGAAGGCTCATAAAATATCAAAGGGCAATTTTAGTAACGCACTATACCAGAATCACGGGTCCATTCCATAACCATTAACATCTATTGTAAAAGAAGTCGAACAGGAAGGAACTACTTCAACATCTAAACTTATCGTTAACAATTTTATTGCAATGGCTGTCATTTACTTGCCCTGTTTAACACTGACTGCATCATGTTGCTTAGCGAGTGACGTCACTTTCCGTTATCATGTTTGCAAACTGATGGGGAAGGCATTGGTTGCTATAGAAACGTCCATTTATCACTTCTACTGACTCATGGGATAAAACTATTGTTCGGCTAAAGTAATAGTGTCTTGCTTTCAATAAAGCTTGATGCGCTCGATAGTGTTTATTAGAAGTCTTGTGCAAGTCTGAGGGAAGTAGAACGGAGAAATTTGGTAAATGAAACAGTTTCGTGTTTTATCTCGACCAATAGAATTTTACCTTACAAATATCTCTTACAATTAATGTATTAATTCTAATTAAAGTTTCGTAAATTTGAAGCTTATTTTCTTTGATACAATATATTTAATGCATTACATTGAATTAGTGGCACTTACTTCTACTAAACCTTGTAATATCCTGACAACAATTGCTAAAGCAGGATGTACTTTAGCTGAACCAGGTAGCAACATATTTAGAAATGCTGATGTTGCTATAGCAGTACCAAAGACCCTAAACAAATTTTTAAAATTTTAAATAAATTTATACCAAAATGTATTAAAATAAATTGAATTTATTTTCTAACAGGTAACTCACCTATTAGCTGGAAATTTTGCAGCTAAAAAACCTCCAGGTATCTGTGTAACTAGATACCCCCAGAAAAATGATGAATCTACAACTCCAATTGTCGTTTTTGTCCAATTTAATTCAGGTTCCTGAGGAAGAAGAAAAAGAAATTCTATATTTTTTTTTTATATAAAAGTTTCCTTCGTAAAATATAAATAAATATTTTCTTTTCGTACGAAAACAGCTTTAAAAATCCACTAAAATATTCTTTAAATTTATTAAACTGATAATAAATTTTTACTTTAACTCATTAAAATTCTAGATAAAGAAAAAATAAAATTTTAATTCCTTAAGTCAATAAATTGTCATCAATTTAATAAATTTAAAGATAATTTGGAGAATTTTACAGATTATTCTTTAAATTGATAAAAATTTATTGATTTAAGGAATTAAAATTCTAGAAGAAAATACTGGATTTTTTTCTTTATCTAGAATTTTAATGTGTTAAAGTAGAAATTTATCAATAATTTAATAAATTTAAAGAAGAATATTCTTTTAAAATTTAATAAATTTATAAGATTTAAATAAAAACTAAACATTTCCTTTTATCTAGAATCTTAATGTGTTAGAAAACAATTCCTTTTTTATAGATGCTGTGAAATGGAACCGTGTAATTGTTTGGTTCTCTCATTAAATCCACAAATTGTTCTGCTTACAGAATGTAAACCAAAGCAATTCAGTCAATCGCCAATTCCCCTTAAGCATTTTAATGAGCCCTTCTGTGGCTTATATTTTCTCAATTATTAAAATACGATTTTCGGCTGCACGTGACCTCATTCAGCTGTTCATTTGAAGAAACAAGTGAAGAATCCCGAAAGACACGAAGGACTTTACTAAATTATAACATCTACTGTATAATTAATGCCTGGTTTGGTTTGATCTCTTAATGGTCTTCCAGGAAATAAAACTGTATTATTTTTAATAGATACTGAGTAACTCGTCCAGAATATTAATAGCTTTGATAAGGATTAAAATGATTTATCCAATGGCGGCACGCGTGATTAAAGATAAATACTGTCAGATATAAATTAATGTACGTTATTATACAATACAATAATGTTTATATAACGTTAAAATATACAAAATTTTCGTGTATCGGATAAAATTTTTTTATTTTAGAAATTTGAAATTCAAATTGAATTTTTCTAAAAGGTCATCCCGTGCCATTCAATAATATAATAATTATAAAATAATAATTTTATTTGAAAAAATATATTCAATTTTTTATTCTAAGTTAAGCATATTCTCGTATTTTATTTGGTAAATTATGATTTTTTTTTTCCTGTTAAAAATCCATGCATATTTTAAACACCAGGGAGGGTAAAGTGTTTTTGCCTCCTGGTGTTAAAATGGAAATATTTAATTTAATTCAAATAAATTATTATTATTTTTTTTTTAATAAAATATAAAATTCATCTGGATACGAGTCCAAGTTTACTTGCCATGTCTAATCACCTGTAATTCTGCCAGCCCATTTCTACAAACAAATATTATATTTTTAATTGTGTTGGGATTGTCACCTGTGGACATTTTAAACTGTTTTACATATTCGTGCAGAGGCATAGCCTCTAAAGAAAGGTTGTCTCTGCAATAGAAATAGTTGTTCCTGGTGATTAGACATGGCAAGTAAACTTGGACTCGTATCCAGATGAATTTTATATTTTATTAAAATGTAATTCTGCCAGCCCTTTTCTACAATCAAATAAATTAATTTAAATCTTTAGATTTAAAAAAAAAACAAAGGCCATGTTTTTCAAAATATATAAAATTATAAATTAAACTGGGCTGATTCCTATGAAAGGATCAATTCAAATTTTTAATTTGTTGTAATTTAATTACTACGAGATAAAGATACCTTTTTAAAGGCTGTCTTAGTGCCCTGTGGGCACTAAGACAGCCTTTAAAAAGGTATCTTTTCATGCCTATTATGGGCCCTGTCAGGCCCACAATGGAGATGACTAGGTGGTAAGAGATGTGGCTTGACATATTTAGGATAAACCATCCCCTGAAGAAATTCTTGTGATTCGCTCGGGCTCGAACCCGAATCTCCAGCGCAGTCTATTGCTCTGGGAATCCGGGCTTTACATATTTCTTTCTAAATTGTTTTGTAGGCTGCATTAAATAAACAATATAAAAATTACTTCTTTTTGGCGTAATGCTCTATCATTTAATTTCTATACTCCCTTATTTCATATTTCAATGCGCTTATTAAGATGTAAATGAAAATGTTTTAATGTAAAATTTTTAAACGCTTAATAGCAAAAGAATAGAACTTGCACTACACGTAAATATTAAAATTACAAAGTTACTACTGTAATTTTACAGTAATTATTTTAAATAGAAACAAAATTTTAGTTAATAGAGCATTTGTCTTTAGGTTACATGTTACATTCATAATGATTGTGGATAATGACGAATATTAAATCTCTTGAGAAACGTTAAGGCTCTTAGTGTCTAAAATAAACATAAAATTTTAATTGTCAGAGAAAGTTCTCTGACAAATACAATAAATTGTAAATTGTTTGAAGTAAATAAATGTTTAAATAACATTTATTGTGTTATTCAAACATTTTGTTTGTTCAAAAATATATTTTTTTAAAAATAAGATTCCTCTTTAAAACACAAAATTACTACAATGTTTTCACACTAATTCCTTGTAAAAATTGCTGACTTTCTTGTACAAAACACGGTTAACTAACTTTTAGGTCCCCCTGTATAATTCTAAAAGTACTGTACATTTGTGCTTCATCCACATTAATATATAGCTTAAGAACGAATATATAAATGAATATTCGGAAATATCCTATATATAGTCTATGTATACTTTCTATAACTGAGAATACTGTATATTATTTAAAATGAATCTATAATATTAAATTTTACAAATTAAAATTCGTACATAAAGTGTTTGAATAGAACAAAGAATATACTAAAGTTAAGAAATATCCCACTTTATAAAGCATGGAAGAATTCGATGAGAATAAGAATTATACGTATAAATTATTAGGATTTATTAATAAAGAATAATTAATAGAGAATGCAATAAAACCTCGTAAACCGGAATCGCACGGTATCGAATATCTTTTCCGGTTTGACAAGTTTGCATTTTGAACAGAAAATCTCTCCTTTCCAAAGAATTTTCCGTTTGGGCAGGTTTCCGTCTTATTAAGGTTTCGTTCTAGATAGGTTTTACTGTATTTTATACTACTTATTATTCATTATATTCTTAATTCAGGATATTCTTTACAGTCCGAAGTGCTTTTGAAGTGTATTCCCAAAGGTTTATGGTTTCTTACATGCTTCAGAACTTAAAATTGGGGTGATTCTTCTTGGGGTAAAGTTCAAAAAATCATAAAGGATATTCATTATTCTCCAATAAATGCGTTATTTATATAAATTGACTTTGATGTATTGCTTAATGCACGAAACAGGAATAAAAGTAGCATTAGTCTGCTGTATTCACTGGTACAGTAAATGCATTATCCATAATTCATTCTTCTTTTATTTCCATACACCAACCTTGTGAATCGTATAATTTTATTTGTACGTGTATCACTTTCGCATAATTTACTTAACGATCATTAATAATAATAATGAAGTGCTACATTATATTTGTATCATTTTAATATAGAGACCGTTAGAATAAATTACATTTAATTCTACATTAATATAGAATATATAAAATACAGTATATAAAATAAGGAATATAATACAAACTATCTACGTAATAATATTTAGATTTTTATGAAGAAAATATATTATAAATTCGATAATTATAATGAAACTTAACAGTATAGTAATTAATTCATCGTATTAATATACTGTATATTTATTTATACATTATGACCGCTCGCTTTACGACGGATTTCAGGAACGTAATATTAAATTACGACGTTAAACTTGTGAAAGAGGACAATTTATTTTACGGCAGATTTACACGTACGTAAGCTCAAATTAAGACACTGAACTTGTGAAAGAGGACGAATCGATTTATGCTTAATTTTATGAAAAGTAAACACTGTTTTATAAATTTAATTACGAAATATTATTATGAATAAATATTGTTTATATTACAACATATTTTTTATCTGAAAATATTCACAAATGTGCTTAAAATGTTGCTAAGATATTGCAAATTCCTTTGCTCACTTTATAGATTCTTTATACGTTTATAAGCATTTCGTATTATTCGAAAAAACCCATAAGTTAATTATTTATAAAATAATTAAAATATAGTTTTAAAGTTTAACTACAAAGTTCTTATGCCTGATATTTTATCCAGAATATTTTAGGTTTCTTAGATACTCTGTTAGAAAAGGTTGTTTTAGAGACTAGGATCAGGATATCTTAGATACTCTCTAAGAGACTAGGATTAGCATGTCTTGGAGAATCTCTTAACAAATAAGATCATGATATCTTAGGCACTAGGATCCGGATATCTTCGAAACTCTCTTAGAGATTAGAGACTAGGATCATGATCTCTTATAGACTATTTCGACGACAAATTGTATATGGAGCTAATGTAAAGTTGCCACCTCCTCCAAAACCAGACTTAACAATAGATATAGGAACAATAGAATAATTCAACAATAGAATGATAATAGAACAATAGAATAATTCTCTTTGGAGAAGTTGCCAATGAGGAAAAATCTCGACTCGTTTACAACAGTCAAAGATCTAAAAACAGCTGCTGTTTTAATGATTTTCAGACGTTTACATCAAAGGAAACGTTCAGAAGAACGTGAGAAAGATTCAAATTTGTTCGAAAGACTGGGAAATGTCTTGTTAACTAGCGTAGATTTTGTGGCTATCCTTTAATCATTATTTAAATTATGCAAAGAAGGATTTTATTTTATAGAAAACCATACTCGAATTTTAGAAAAAAATTTTTAAAAAGGCAAATAATCTTGCAGATAATTTAATAAAAACTTTTTAGGATAATCGAATAGGATATTCACTTACACCAAACTTTCCCATTTAAGTTCTTCCCATTATTTCTTTCTCGAAAATTACTCTTGTAATTTAATATAAAGCACCTCTACTTAAAAGATTTGAAACGTATAAAATTACCTGTACAAAACGGAACTTG